GCTTTTCAGATATGATTACAGGTAAGAACCTTGGGATGGAGGCTCTAGGAGTACCAGGTAGGCCCAAACTAATTACATGAATGCTTAAAAGCAGAAAACTTTTCCTTGCTGCAGTCAGTCAGAGAGAGATGTGACAACAGACTAATGATCAGAGCGATACAACCTTATCTGGCTTTGAAGATGGACGAAGGCCATGTGACAAGGAATGTAGGTGGCTTCTAGAAGCTGAAAAACGGCAAGGAAATGAATTATTTCCTGGAGTCTCCACAAGGAACATAGCCCCACTGCCACTTTGATTTCAGCCATTTGAGACCCATATCAGATTTCTGGTCTACTGAATTACAAGATAATGGTTTGTAGTGATTTAAGCCACTGTGTTTGTGGTAATTTACTGCAGTAGCAAGAGAAATTCCATATAGTCAGCAACAAAGTTCTCGCCAGTATCAGAGAGAAGAGAAAAATGTTCATTCTTTCTGTATTTTCTCTCTGTCTCCCTTTCTCTCTCTCCACACACATACACACTCACACAGACACATCTACTGTTCATAATTCCTCTGGCAAGAGTATTTAAAAATGACATGGTCCAATAATGAAGACTGACCATATCCCAGGCAGAATGTAGTACTTTCTCAAAAGGCACTAAAAATAAATGGTGCAAACTTAACTTGGGCTTGGTCTTCAGGGCCTATCCAGCCTTCCCTACCCCTGTCTCATGATCTCCTGTCCATCCTAATAGCTGACACCGACTCTGCTTTGATTCAGACTATTTTGATGCCTTGTGCTTATTCTTCCAAGTGTGGATTTCTGGTTTTGCTGTTTTTATTCCTGTATGATTCTGAAAGGTACTCACACGCTGCTACCTAGACAAGATGTACACATATCTTATTTGAGAACCAAGTTACATGTGTGTTATTCCCTGTCTTTCTGAAATGGCTTCAGTCTGTGTTTTCTTCTAATTTTAATAAGAGAAAATGCTCATTACATAGATGTTATAATTTGAAAAAGATAGATTTATGAAAAGAAGCAATACATGAAGTGGCAAGTAGGGTCTTCAGTTCCTCTCAAAGAGACTTGCAACTCCTCTTTCTTCTTCTAAGTTTTTCACCTTTTCATTTTCTTCTTCATTCCTTTTGATCTTTTATTGTTAGGCTCCATCTCTTTGCATTCTTTAACCTACGCAACCCTTTTCAAAAGCACCATGGCAGTTCATTAGTAAAGCCATGAGAGTCTGCGTATGTTTTGACCAGAGATTCTACTCCTAGAAAATAATTTAAGTCAGATGCCAAATGCACCAGGATTTTCATTACAGCACTAACCATAATTTAAAAAGTAGATGAGGGCTTCCCTGGTGGCGCAGTGGTTGAAAGTCCGCCTGCTGATGCAGGGGACATGGGTTCGTGCCCTGGTCCGGGAAGATCCCACATGCAGCGGAGCGGCTGGGCCCGTGAGCCATGGCCGCTGAGCCTGCGCGTCCGGAGCCTGTGCTCCGCAACGGGAGAGGCCACAACAGTGAGAGGCCCGCGTACCGCAAAAAAAAAAAAAAGTAGATGAAACCTGAATATTCAGTAACAGGGAATTGGTAAATTATGACATATCAACATAATTGAACAACAAACAATGAAATTTATAATCATGAAGAACTGGATTCAAATCCCAGCTAAATTACCTAAACTACTGAACAGACATGTAAACAGAGAAGGTGCGTCTCCTATTTAAGCCACAGTCTCCTCGTTTGAAAGCGTGAATAATACTTATTCTCATATTGATAACATGAAGATGAAATGAATTAACATATATGATGTGTTTAGCACAGTTCTTGGACCATCATAACCACTCACTGCATTTAACATCTTTGTTATTTATTTTTAAATAAGAAATTAGAAATCACCATAATAATGCATACAAGACTTGGTAGATTAACAAGAAGTTACAAGAATAATTTCTTACACCGCTATTAAGAAAAGAACTCATAAAACAATTAGATAAACATGGGCTATATAGAGTTTTAATAAGGCTTTTATTTAAAAGAACATACTTAAAATATTTCTATATGGTTTTAAATAGCTGAAGGATTTGAAAGCCCTTAAGGCCTCCAGTGGATGCCAAAGGCAATTTTATATTCATTATATTGTACAAACTGGCAAATGCTTTTGAAAATAAGCAACACAAAGTTAAAAAAAAAAAAAAGCTCTTTTTACTTGCATTTTAGCAGCTTTCAGAAGGAGTCTAATCAGAAGGCGGGTAGACCTTTGTTCTACTGACATACCCCCCAAGTAGCACAAGTTTACAATAGGTGACCCCAATGAGGTCTTTTTTTATGATGACAAAGAAAACTGTTCCTACAAATCAAAGCCCATATAAACAAGGAAAAGCCTATTTAAAAACATTCACAATCAACGCCAGTTGTCAGCCTGCTAGAGACACTGGTTGAAATGACTTGTACCCATCACATATTTATTTCTAAAGATGGAGAATTATATATTTGACTTGTTGGAAAGGTTGGGTACTAAAAATACTCTTTTTTTAAAAAAAAAAGTAAAACACAGAGGAACAAAAAGAGTGGCAGCTGCTTATTTCTTTCTCTGTAACAAAATGTGACATATAATGTAGCAATGGAAAAAGAGCAGAGCTCAAATGAAGCAATTCATAAAATGCACATAGAAAACAATGCCACAGAATATAATGTTGATTAGAATTGAATGAAACTTCAAGTATCTTGAAATATGTCATGTCATTTGGGTACCTTATTGAGAAAACCACAGAATGAATGTGGTGGTGGTTTTATCACAGATGTTGCTGCTACTCAAGTAGATAACTTGAGCCTCTAGAGAAACAAAATGATATTCTATGTTGAAGCTCAGTGATAAAGGAGGGAATTGCCTTGTGATAAGGAAGAGAATGACTTTATACAGATCCCTGTCAGTAACAATGAAAATTCCCTGGGTAGACTTTTATTCTAGATGCTTTGTAAAAAATGATTTAAATACCACCTGGTTGGGCTTCCCTGGTGGCGCAGTGGTTGAGAGTCCGCCTGCCAATACAGGGGACACGGGTTCGTGCCCCAGTCCGGGAAGATCCCACATGCCGCGGAGCAGCTGGGCACGTGAACCATGGCCGCTGAGCCTGCGCGTCCGGAGCCTGTACCCCGCAACGGGAGAGGCCACAACAGTGAGAGGCCCACGTACCGCAAAAAAAAAAAAAAAAAAAAATATCACCTGGTCTGAAATTTTGCCTCCAGATCAAACCTAGCTAAGTAATTATTTTGTGTTCTGAGGTCAGACTGAAGGCAACCACAATCGCTATTACTGCTTCTCCAGAATCTTCTTCAGGCCTTATCCAAATTTCTTTTCCTACACCTTGCTCTCAGTTTTACTAGTTGCTATTCTCAACTAAATTGAATCCAGTTTTCAAATGTCATTGTTAATTTATTTTAAATCTTGTATTTCTGGTTATGTACCAAGTGGAGGATATAAGCCCTAGTATTTGCCCTCTAATCCCACAGACCTCCTCTGTGTCAATAAATATGCTGCTACCCACCCCTTGCCTGACTTTTCTCCTCTAGGCATCAGAAATTAGATAAGCCAGCAAATGTTGACTGACAACTAAAGAGAGTTAGAAAATGAAAATTGCTCTATAACTGAATTTCTTACCTATTAGTAATCTCTGAGAGTTGATGGCATTACTTCAACAAGAATGGTAACTTTTTATTTGTTCTAGATGAAAATTATCCAAAATCATTTGACCAATGTTTATAATAAGATGACTTTTGCTTTCCTCTTAATTTTTAAATGTATTCATAAACAGTCTGACTCCTACACTGCAGGCCTTATAGGAATTGTAAGATATTTTGATTAAAAAGTACCATACAGGTTGTTGGGTCTCCTTTTAAATATCATCCCAGAGATGTAGCGGTTTAGGTGTCAGACCCAGGCAGGTTTCTGGGAGCTAGAATTGGACAAGTCTGTCTTAAAAGCATGGCCATCTTGAGAAAGTGAAAAGACAGTGTTTAGGGATGAGGCTGGAAATATAATTCAAGTAGTCAAACTGAGATACATATTTGAAAATGCTGAGCAGATACATACAAACTAAACATAAGGGAACTAAAGAGACTGGGGATACCAGGACAGAGTGATTGAGTTTGGATGAGAGAGTGAAAGTTGGAATCTGGTGAAACATCCTGAAATACTGTGGCAGAATCACAGGAACTTTTCACAGAGCATGTTTGGCCTCGCTTCTGAATGGGGAGTTGTTGTGAGCCCTGAGCCAAGAATGACTATAGACTCAATACTTAAATTCTCTTTATAGAATTCAAGTCAAATTAGCCATCCAACCTCTATGTGAAGAATTCTAGAGTCAACCACTTATTATTTTCCAAGAATGTCCAGTTTGGTTTTGGAAAGCTCTGAATATTGGACAGTTTTTCCTTTTATTACACCAAAATGGGTCCTCTATAAATTCCACCCACTGGTGCTAGTCTTTTATGCTCTACATAGTGATAATACAAATGGAATATCAACTGGACTATTTTTAGAAATTCAACTGGACCTAAAATTTCAAGTAACAAGATTATCTAGACTTTCTAATTTAAGGTCTTAATAGCCAGGAAAAATAGTAATGTTATTTTACTAGAACTGCAGACAAGCTGATATTCACATAATTGTTCTCTACCATGAAATGTTTTATAGCATTTTAAACATTCTCTAATAAAGTTCTTAGAAGATAAAAAAGAAGCTCTACAATAAGATTATTATCATCTTCGTCAACATAATTCATGAGCACATCTTAAGACAGGTCCTTAGCCAGATTCTTTTCAGGCGAAGGGCCCTTGATTTCAGTGGCCTTAAAATGTACAGGCAGAACTATGGCAGGGAAGAGGTGAAGATTGTTTTTTACTTGAAGTCCATAACATATTTTTGGGGAGGAATGTAAAATATAAGGGAAACATTATGCTTTCTTAGGAAAATTAAAATGTATTTCTCGAGCTCAAAGGAGTCAATCGGTGTAAATTCGTTACTATTTTATTAAAATCAAAGAAAGGGGATAATAAAAGAAACGTCATTAAACAATCAGGAGGAAAATAATCACAATTGTTGTCATATTTTATAAGAGCACTTTCATTCAGATATGACTAGCAGACTAGCACCTCCATTACCAAATGGCATCTTTTCCTTGGAAATATGGGCTTGAGGAAAACTATTAAGGGAATGATCAAAATACAGCAAAGCAAGCACAGGTGGCTTCTACCTGAGTTGGACGAGGGGTATATTTTGTATTAAGATAACAATTCTAATAATGATCTTCATAGACACACACCAAGGATTTCTGCTGGGACAACCCCTAGGGACTTTAACATCATTTAATTTAGAGTGAGGTCAGGTTTCTTGGCCCAACTCTATTGCTTAAGCCTTTTATAAATGGCTCTGATACAACAAGCTGTGGTAGTCCTCCTTGTCCATAAGGAGTGGCTGCTTTTCTTCAGGAAGATGCTTTCTCTTTCGATGACACAACAGGCTAGTGAGTCCTCCCAGCACAGCAGTGAGGACAGACCCTACCACGGCTGCCCCAATGAGCCATGGCCAGATCTGACTTGCTTGTTCTAAGTAGGGTTTAATGTAATCTTGAAAACTGTCTGGTCCTGAAATAGAAAGACATCCCAATGTTTTTACTATCATCATCACCATCATCATCATCATCATCATCATCATCATCCTTGCATAGTACTTTGGAGTCAGATGCTTGGGTTTGAATGCCAGCTCTGCTACTTACTAGCTATAAGATCTTGGGAAAGTTATACCTAATACTCCTAAGTTTCAGGTTCTTCATCAGGAAAATAGGAAAACAATACCACCTTGTTGGGATGTTTTAAACTTCATGGATATTATCTGATTTGTAAATTATACAGTGCCTGCCCCCAAGTCAGCTACTGTTACTCTTTTAGTTATTTATTCTGTTATTTGACTCCATATTTCTAAATAATAGGCAAATATTACTACTTCTTAATTTGTCAAGTTTATCTCTGGAGTTCCTCAGGTATAAACAATGATTTGAGCTCTCTTACAGTTTCCCTTTTCTTTCCTCCATATTTTCAGCATAATAATACCATGATCTGGGGTCAAATCCACATCTCAGATTTCCATTATTTTTAATATTTAAATATTATTCACAATTGAACCAAATATTATTCTATGAGCACATTTCCTTTCTTACATTATTTTCCACTTGGAGTTAATAATTTATTATATCTATTTGCTTGATTTTAAAGTTCCCATCACTATTTACAAGACACCCTAAGATAATCTATATCCATTTTGTGATACAAAGGAAAGAAGAGAGTGCATCTTGGGCTTACCTACTAGCAAATTATGGCTATGTGACTTAAGTCTTGAGCAAAAGTAACACATGTAACTTTGGGGCAGTTCCCTTAAAAAGAAAAGGTATGCTTTCTCCTTTTCCCTTTTCCCCTTTCAACTAATGCAGATAGTATGTTGGTGAGCCATCATAGATCATGTGATCAAGGGTAAACCCTAGGTCTTATAGAACTACAAGAAACAAGCAGCTCTGGTCCCTGAAATTATGGAGCTTGTATTTGACAACATACCAAGACTGCCATTTGAGCAATAAATAAACTAACTTATTTAGGCCATGAATATTTGAGCCTATATCTACTCCCCATCCCTACCTTCCCCCTGTTGCTGATGTGGGAACTATAACATTTTTTATGACTTATTTTCTTGGCTACTGTTGATTAGTTCATAGTGAACCACTGACTCAAGCTGGGCTAGTCAGAATCATTACTCAGAAATCACTGTGCTGGAATTAAGAGTCAGATGACTCAGGAGCTGATAACAGTCTTAGAGCTAGAGAGGGGGTAGGGAGCGGGGAAGAGAGAGAGGGGGAGAAAGAATGAATCTTTAGGGAGCTTAGTTTGCTGGTTCCTGCTGTTCCTCAGTCTCAGCTGCATTTTTGTCTTTCTTACATTTCAAATGTTCATTCTTTCCTTGGATTTTGTAAACCAATAAATTATCTTTTTATCTAATCTTGTTTCTATGGAGTTTCTGCCATTTGCGCTTCAAAAAGTCCTAATTATTTTTAAAGTTAGTTAGATTCCTACAACAATAAAAGATAAAGTACCTTAGGATATTCTGAAATTACAGTTATATGTAAGCTTCATAGATCATAAAAATTAGATCAACAATATAAAAAAAAATTAATATTTATTTAATCAAATATCTTGGAAAGAATGGGTAGCAACATGAAGTGAAATGTAAAGTGCGAGTCTCATCGATCACCATAAACTCAAGCACTCAAAACAGTTAAAGCAGGAGAATTTGTCAAAAATTAATTTTATATTAAATTCCAATCTTCATTCAAAGAAGATAAGAGTGGCGCTTCCCTGGCTTAAGTGGGGCTACAGGGCTCAAACTCCATTTCTCCTGTTACTTTCTCCTTTTTTGTCCTTAGTGCTGTCCTTTTACCAGCTGTCACTAAGATACCTCTAAAATTCTTAGAATCCATTAAGCATAATTTGAAACAATAGAGCAGATTTAGTTTTCTCTTCATCAGGAGGGGACAATAAGTTGCAAAGAACTAACATTATAAAATAAATTATAATAAAAGAGATTTATAACTTTGGATTAATATTAATTTAAATCTAAGAAATGAAAGCTAACAAAGCTAAAATAAAGAAATTAAAAATGTGAACATTATTTTCATCAAACATAAATGTTACCATTCTAACACATTTAAAAGTTAATTTGAAAATGAAATTACAAATGCTTAGTTTGCATTGCTATTAGTCACTTCAATATACCGTGCATTTTAAATGTCTCACAAAATGCAGATTACATAGAGGTTACATAATAAGTATGATTTCTTTATTGCTTAAGGCTCAGCTCAAATTCTTTCACAATTTTAAAACACTATTTCTTTGTCTGTCCTTCTGTTCTCCAGCTTCTCTTATCATTTCTCTACTTCAGTTCATTTCAAGTTGTCTTAAATTTTACTGTCACCAATGGACTGTCTTCTTTGAAACACTCTGTATTTCTCAATGGCCTCAACCTAAAATTTAGACTTGTCTTCCTCAGTTATTTGCTCTTGAGCCTCAATAGTGTATCTTTAAATTATTTCTTCATATCGAAAGTTTTCTATTTTTTTACCTACTTAAAATTCCATTTTTTTTGTTACCCATTCTCTTCAGAATAATCATATAGTCTTTTATTTGTTTGGTGCTCTGTCATTTCCAAAGCGCATTCATATGCCCATTTATCCACACAACAAACACATGAGGTAGTTAGGAATCATTATCCTAATTTAACCAATTCAAAATCTGTAACTTAGAAAGTTTGCCTGTAATATTTAAACTCTACAATGTATGTATAACCTTTGGAATGATGTCTTTCACATAAAAAGTAATTTATAACTGTTATCGATTCTTCTTACTCCATAGTAATTCCTTCAATATTTCAACTGAACCAGCTTCCAGTAAGAGTTTTTCTCTCTCACACCTGCTTTGATCACTGATTCTGCTCAGCTCTCTCTTCTGGATTCCCAGACTCTTTTCTTTCATTGCTCCTTTGTGACACTTGGCACAATTGTCTACATGTTGTAATTATTTATATGTATGTCTTACTTTTCAGGCTTCATGATGAACCCTTGAGAGCAAGTAGTATGTCTTATTTATCTTTCATTCTTCTATTCATTCATTTATTCATTCACACAGCAATGTTTACTGAGACACAGCAATGTTTACTGAGACACAGTAAATGTCAGGTGGTGGTCCAGGAACTGCATGTGAAAGGCTGAGTAAGCAGAGCCCCTGGCCTGAAGGAAATAATAACTAAAAGAGGAGACTGACAAGTAAAATTATTTTAAGAGCAATGCTGTTCCAATGCAAGTATATAAAAGATACAATGGGATAATGTGGAAAAGACCTCCTATAACTGCCTGAGGAGTCAGAGGAGGCATCCCAGGAGACTATCCCACTGAGTAGAAGAATAAATTAGGATTTGAGTGTGGGATGCTGATGGCAAGCCATCCCAGGCAGAAGGAACAGTATGCACCTGTGCATACACATAGGGAAACACTAGTGAACAAGCCCTCATCAAGCCCCATGTGCAGAATGAGACCCTCCAGTTACTGTGAACATGCCTCCTCCTCTCATTTTTAAAATCAAACGTCCAGGCCTTTTGGAATATATTGGAAGAAGGAAGCTCTTAACAAAGTAACACCAGACAAAAAGCAGGATTACATTTGCCAACAGCATCAAGGACTCAACCCTTCATTGCTAAAGGTTTTTGGTCTCACCTTTCAATCAGTTATGCATGCAACAAAATCACCTGCTACTCAATTTTGAAAAACATCACTAAATTCAATTATAAGAGAAAATGTTTGACTAGAGCAAGAAGACATCAGCTGCCTTTTACGGAAAATAATTAAGTAATTATAAACGTGAGTGCCTAAATGATGAATAATTAACTGCCTGAACTAAATTATATCAAGAAATTTTAAAGAATTTTTTAGTAAGCTTAAAGTTTAGCTTACTCTATTCTGGCATTGTGTCTCAGTAAACATTGCTGTAAGAATGAATAAATGAATGAATAGAAGAATGAAAGATAAATTTTAAACTCCTTGAAAGTACAACAGAAGGAGCAATAGAATAATTCATAAAATAGAAAATAAGCAATTGCTCTTGCTTATTTTAAAGCAAAACTTCTCTAAAATTAGTGGCGTAAGCTCACAGCTATATGAAAAGGACTCTAAATAGATAAAACATTTTGAATCAATTTTATTTTTAAAAATTTAACTATAAATAAATAATAAATACCTTTAATCCCCTAATGTGACTCTTTGAGCCTTCTTTCCCTTTTCTCCCCCAGTGGTTTTTGTTGCCTTTTCAGTAAGAAGTACCCATTTGGGACACTAGGGAAGGGACAACCAGGTGGAACATTTGTGTACAAGGCAAGTATAAAGAGAACCCTCTCTTCTGTGGAGTCATGGAGAGAGAATTCATTTGGGATTCTATATTTGCCACCTAGGAGCTTTGTGACTTAGAATTTGTCACTTTATCTTTCTGTTCTCAATCTACTTACCTATAAAACAGAATAAAATCACTACTACGCAAGATTGTAAAGATTGGCAAAGATAACAATTTATATGCTGATGTCTCTCACATTAGTATCTTCAGGCAGAATCTTTTCTGAGGCTCAAGGCTCAGCTGCCTCAGGGATATATTTACCCTGTTGTGCCATTCACCCCATTTCACTGTGTAACTGATACCACCATGAGATTCACTCCATGTCTGGCCCTGCTCCTATTGTTTCTATCTCAGTGAATTCAATCACCATTCATCATTTGCACAGGCCAGAAAGCTTAAGGGCAACTCTAATATCTCCTTCTTTCTCACCTATTATATGTAATCATTTTCCAAGTTCCATAAATTTTGTTTTCAAAATAATATCAATGTTTTTTGTCCTTTCTGCCTTGCCTCTTACCACCACTGCAATTCCAACTTCCTTCGCCTCTCCCCTGGATACTCGTAACAGCATTTTCACTGGCCTCCCCGAATGTGCTTTGCAACTGACACAAAACTTGCATCTTTTTGGATTTTATATGAATATAATCATCAGTATATATTCTATGACGTCTGGTTTCTTTGGCCCAACATTATGTCTTTAACATAGAGGACAGACTTGTGGTTGCCAAGGGGGAAGGGGGGGAGGTGGGGGAGGGATGGATTGGGAGTTTGGGATAAGCAGACGCAAACTATTATATATAGAATGGATAAACAACAAGGTCCTGCTGTATAGCACAGGGAACTCTATTCAATATCCTGTGATAAACCATAATGGAAAAGAATATGAAAAAGAATGTATATATATGTATAACTGAATCACTTTGCTGTACAGCAGAAATTAACACAACGTTGTAAATCAACTATATTTCAATAAAATAAAATTGAAAAAAAAAACTTCCTACAAGCTGCAGCAACTGTAATCTTACGAAAACTCAAATTTGATCCTGATTTGTTTAAAATTCATTAATGGCTCTGTTATCCTAGCAATATGGCCAAAATTCATAATCAAGACCTCCTTTTCAACTAATTAATTCTTCCTCTTACTGATATTCTCTGAAATGTCACTTCATTGACCCCTAGAGATATGCACATCTCTAAACAAACGAGTCATTAGGTAAGTAGTGGTTTAAGGTCTTTCTCTTTCATTAGGATGTAAGCACTGTGAAGGAGACTACATTGTTTACCACTGTATCTGCAGTATCTAAAAGAATGCCTTGAACAAGGTAGTTACTAAACATATGTATGTAGAAAGAATAAATAAACCAATAAAATCACCTAGAAAATATCTAGCACAATAGAAGACTTGAAATACGTTAAAAATATCTAAAAATGCAAATCAAAACTACAATGAGGTATCACCTCACACCAGTCAGAATGGCCATCATCAAAAAATCTACAAACAATGAATGCTGGGGAGGGTGTGGAGAAAAGGGAACCCTCTTGCACTGTTGGTGGGAATGTAAATTGATACAGCCACTATGGAGAACAGTATGGAGGTTCCTTAAAAAACTAAAAATAGAACTACCATATGACCCAGCAATCCCACTACTGGGCATATACCCTGAGAAAACCATAATTCAAAAAGAGTCATGTACCACAATGTTCATTGCAGCTCTATTTACAATAGCCAGGACATGGAAGCAACCTAAGTGTCCATCAACAGATGAATGGATAAAGAAGATGTGGCACATATATACAATGGAATATTACTCAGCCATCAAAAGAAACGAAATTGAGTTATTTGTAGTGAGGTGGATGGACCTAGAGACTGTCATACAGAGTGAAGTAAGTCAGAAAGAGAAAAATAAATACTGTATGCTAACACATATATATGGAATCTTAAGAAAAAAAAAAGGTTCTGAAGAACCTAGGGGCAGGACAGGAATAAAGATGCAGATGTAGAGAATGGACTTGAGGACACGGGGAGGGGGAAGGGTAGGCTGGGATGAAGTGAGAGAGTGGCATGGACTTATATATACACTACCAAATGTAAAATAGATAGCTGGTGGGAAGCAGCCACATAGCACAGGGAGATCAGCTCCGTGCTTTGTGACCACTCAGAGGGGTGGGATAGGGAGGGTGGGAGGGAGACAAAAGAGGGAAGAGATATGGGGATATATGTATATGTATAGCTGATTCACTTTGTTATAAAGCAGAAACTAACACACCATTGTAAAGCAATTATACTCCAATAAAGATGTTAAAAATTTTTTTTAAAGAATCTAAAAATGACCTGAGTATTAAGAAGTGTGACATTTTTCTAGCAAGCTTTACTTATATGTATTGGTTAAGAGACACCATCCTTCATGATAAATATCCCTTGCATTCAAGTGAAATCATTGGTTTAGCCCCATACCAGATACCATTTGGATAAGACTGGAGAAGCTTGCAAGGTATCAGTTCTGATTTTGTAGGGCTCACAGCCAAGGTACCGGGAAGAAAGATTCATATGTAGAAAAATTACCATGTAACTCTGTTAAAGGAGTGATTAAACATGACTATGTATATATATACAATGATTTCATATCTGAGAGTGTGACAAATGGATATGGATTGGAATTTAGCCAGAGAGAATAGTGTAATAAAAGCAAGAGCCCGTGAAAGAGTCTGTTATGCTCTGAAAATGGAAATTATAAAATCCTGGTGGTGAATCTTTGAAAAACCATTACCAATATTCTCCCTTCTTTATGTACTGTGGGTGTTTTTAGAAGGAGGGGAAAACACTTTACTTGAGACTGCCCCTCTTTTTGACTCACTGGGAGCCCCTTCCCTTACCATACCTCCACCGTCTGCAAAATGCTCTGTTCTTAGTGATCTCCAGGTTTTCAAAGAACTCATCTCCTCTACCAGCCATTTTAGTATTCCTTCCACTGGCTATGGTCTTCAGATAAAGCAAAACAGGTAACGAACCCAAATCTGTCCAACTAATCGTTCCCCAAAGGGCAGGAAATGGTTGATAAAATACAGTTTCTCCTGTTGGCTTTAAAATGTGGTTCTGCTATGCCACATACTAGCTAGATGGCCCAGGACAAATTATTTATATTCTTTAAGCCTCTTTTTTCTCATCTGTGATCAGGAAAAAGAAATAATAGTGCCTACTTCACAGGGTAATTATGAAAATTAAAGGAAATAATGCACACAGCATACTCAGAAGAGTTCCTGGCACATGAAAAGATCCATAATATATTAGCTATTATGAAATAACTCAATTTATCTCCTCAGTGTAATTTTTCACTGCTCATACTACTCAAATAGGAGAATTTAGCATCTCAGAAATACATAGTACACTTTACACCTCTATTTTTGTTATTCTATTAGTTTAGAATATTCCCTACCCTTTTCTATCTACTACCCGCCTGCTCATCCTTCAAGGCCTTGTCTTGTCTTTTTAGGTTGAACTACTCTGAAGTCATTGCTTTCTCCTCTGTGCTCATAAGATTCGGTTTATGACTCCTTTCTTGCACTTAGCACAGCCTGATGTTTCACACTTTTTTGCACAACTGTCTGGCTTCCATACTGAATTTAATTTAACTCTCCTTGAGGTCTGGAGGTATGTCATTCATTTATGTGTCACTAAAGTTTAACAAGAGGTAGGAAATTGGTAAATGTCATTCATTTGTTCATTTTATTTTACTAATCTGTTTATGTTTCCATGAATTATCAATGAATATAATGAAACATCAGTGTTTGTCGAACACCTCGTATCCACAAACTCTGTATTGTTTAACCTTTTTTTTAGCTGTTGACCATCTTGTGTTGCAGTGGAGAGGACCCTGTAGTGTTGAAATCTGGCTCTTCCACATACTGGCGTTTGCTATTGGGAAAGTCATTTAAATTATTTTAGCATTTAGCATTATTTTAGCATTAAATTATTTTAGGTAGTGTCCTTACCTCATTCTAGGGATAATAATACTTCCCCTAATATATGGTTGATTAATAATGCATGTATGGTATGTAGCAGGCTCACAGGTAGGGGGAGACATTACTACCTGTTCCATATTTATCAAAAAGATACTGACATACTACTACTAAGGAAGATTATGTAAAGCCTAGATCTAATTACAATCCTAGACTTAATCATAGTCAGAGAAATTATTATTATAATAGCTATTATCATTATTATTATTAACTGTGTTTAACATCAAAATGTTCACAAATTTTCTTGGTGAAATGTTCACAAATTTTCTTCCTAGCAGGAAGTTCCCAAAGATGATATCAAAACTGCTAGATGTTTAACTTGTGCTGACTGCCCTAGGCTCTTAATGCATTTAGTTATCAAATATCTCTTTGAGGTATTCTATTCCTAATATTTAAGGTTAAGAAACTGAGATTCAGGGAACTGAAGTCAAATTTCCCAAGGTCACACAAAAGTCAGTTTATAGTGTCACGTCTCACACCGATTTTTTTTTCTGATTTTAATTTTAGTGCTCTTCCCATGGTTGCCATATGCAAAATGCTCTATATTAAGCAGAAAGGACAGAAATTTAAAGATTCTTGCAACTTGGTCCATGTAATAATAAATCAGTGATGAGTTAAGGATCGTAATGCATTTTCCCAATTTAAATAATTTGGGGATAACATTGTAAAAATATAAGGCTTTGCACTCTCTCAAAAGACATTGATCACACCAGACTCAGCAATTCACATGAAAGAAACTGAGCTTTACCTGAATCTTGTAGGTAGCTATAGTCATAACCCAGATCTCTGGATGAAATAAAGAAATCACCATTTCTATAGAGAGGTATAAAAGGAACCATGTAGGATTCCCGGTTGTGCCCAATGGGTGCATTGGCTTCTGGATAAACTTCTTGAAGAGGATGGTGCCTTCGAAGCCACTGTTCAAAAATACTGGAGAGGAAAGGATTATTCAATGTCAGAAACATATTTTTAGTAAAAGAAATATTTGGAATTCTTAAAGTAAAATAACAAGGCATATCTTAAAACCTAAAGCTGTGGAAAGATGCCAAATATAGTTTTCACGCTTTGAAAATATTTTGTAAGTCACCAGTTCATGCTGTCAGGCCCTGATGAAACTCATTCATTTGAGAGAAATATTAGAGGATAACTTTGAAAGAGAAATTTCTTAGAAGATAAATGAAACTTACATGACAAGTTTAGACCCTTCAGAATGCTGCAGAGCAAGTGTAATTATTGGTTGAGTGACAATTGAGACATAGTTGTAAATTAAATATGTCTCTTATCTCAAAGAAAGTTCACCTAAAGAAAGAACATGCAAAACTAAATTGGAATCAGTACTAGAATTTGGTCAATTTTTGGTCTTGGTAGAGGACTTTCAATTATTTCAACCTCCTTGTTATGTTTGGTGCAGTGTATGCTTAATGAATCTCGGTGGGAGAAAGAGCTCACCTTCCATGATAGAGGCTAAAAATACTTACTTGGAAACTTGTGGTTTCCAAACTTCCCTGGTAGCTACAGTATGACCACACGATCAATACTCAGCCAATCAGACATACCCATCCAAGACTTTGAAACAGGAGGCACTGACACAAAGAAGCAAGGACAATGGAAAACCAACCTCCTGTTTTTAAGGGCAGCGAGGCCAGAGGTATTAGTAAAGGTGTCCAGGGGTACCCTGTGTTCTAGAGCAGCGGTCCCCAAACTTTTTGGTACTGGGGATCAGTTTCATGAAAGACTATTTCTCCATGGATGGGGTGGGGGGTGGGGAGAGGGCGGGGGGGATGGATGGTTCAAGCAGTAATGTGAGCCATGGGGAGCAATGCGGAGCCGCAGATGAAGCTTCGCTCACTTGTCCACCTCTCACCTCCTGCTGTGTGGCCCAGTTCCAACTGGGGGTTGGGGACCCCTGTTCTAGAGCATGGTTTTGGCAGATGATTGACTGCTGCCCTCCTCCCTTGTTCCCACCTGTTTCTCAACATGCGTCTCCATGATCTCCTCACCTATCCAATACCCTTTCAGCAAATTTGTTTCCTGTTGAATCAGCCAGAGTGAGTTTCTGCTGCATGCAATTAAAAACTCTAACTGGAACAATAGCTAAAAAACTATGGGATCAAAAAGGTCTAGTAAGAATGGAAGCAAAACTAAGCTACAGCAGAATTTATAGTGGATCACTAAAGGTGCGATAGAGAGAATGCTTCTGTGTTATCAGACCATATAACATAGAGGGAAGAACACTATATTTGGAGTCAGAGAACTCCCCTTGAGTCCTAGATCTGTGGTTTAAGAGCTGTATCAGTTGCATAAGCTCATAAGCAAATCACTGAACCACTTGAAGACTTAGCCTTCTCATCCTTAAAATGAAAGTAATAATATCTGTCCTATCTGTTTCCAAATTATCCAATGTGATAATTTTTATGAAAGTGCTAGATATATAAGCTACTGTTGTTTAGCTCTAGAATTGAAGTTCAGAGATAAAAGGTTAGTGCATGGTCGAGACGATGAGTCTAAAAAAGAAAGTGATAATACTTCAAGCAATCAAATAATCTGTTTAGAAAACATTTTGAAATACAAAAAAGAAGAGAACAAGGAAGCCAGATGGCAGCAGTGGTGATCACTTTTTCTGTGATGAAAAGCAATTCTATTTGTTTAGAGAATCTGGACTTCAAATACTAGTTGTGGTCAAAGTTGTTTTTAATTGTAAATTAACTGAGAGATAAGCAGGCTGCTGATAAACACTGCAAATCTGGTCCCTGAATACCAAATGGTCCCTAAATAGCTCAATTATTAAATATGTTTACTGAGTACTTACTATATGTTAAGTTTTGGAGAAGCTTGAACCTGTGCAAAAACCTGAATTCTGTGGGTTGTGACAAAGGAAACTTGTAAAAGGTCTTAACCTGTTTAATTTTCCTCTTATTCATCTACAGAATGGGAGTAGTATTTATGTCTTAAAGGTATTGTAAGGATTAATTAAGCAACATAAATGTCCTTTGACAGATGAATAAAGAAGATATTGTATGTATATACAGTGGAATATTATTTAGCCATAAAAAGAACAAAATAATGTCATTCGCAGCAACATGGATGGACCTAGAGATTATCATATTAAGTGAAGTAAGTCAGACAACAAATCAAATATGATATCACTTACATGTGGAATCTAAAATACAACACAAATGAACTTATTTATAAAACAGAAATAGACTCAGAGACATAGAAAAAAACTTGTGGTTACCAAAGGGAAAGGGAGGGGAGGGATAAAATAGGAATTTGGGATTAACAGATATACACTACTATATATAAAAGAGATAAACAACAAGGACCTACTGTATAGCACAGTTAATTAAAAACTGATTAATTAAAATAACATAAGTAAGATATATGGTTAAGTGTTGGACAGAGATGGTAAACAGAAGCCATCCTCATCCCCACAGCATTTCTTCCTCTTCCTTCTACTCATGATTCATGTTATACTGGAAGAACTCTACAATTGGTGAGAGACATGAGACATGCATAGAAATGGCAAAGCCATGTATATTTGAGCTGGTTCTTTAAAAATGGTTATTATTCTTTAAGCAGAAATGGGGAAACAGAGGATTCAAGAAGATTGTTTTTTGTGTGTGTACCTCCATTTCCTCAGCTGAAGAAATTAGGAACTGGCTTAAGTCTATTCAAGTCCTAAAATGTTATGAATTATTCTTTTTATTTTAACATCTACAGTTTTCTTCTTTTCATGAAAGCACTACTTGTTCATTATATACAATTCAGAAAATATAAACAAGCAAAAAGGAGAAAAGGAAAAAATCATATGTACTTGCTCCATATTTTTGTGGCAGTTTTTAAAATATACAAGTATAACATTAAATACATATTTTAATAAAAGAGAATTTTATTATAGACAATATTTTATAAGACATTTTATTTGTACTAAACAATGTTTAAATGATATTTAGACATGTTTAAACAATGTTCACCAGTTTTCAAGTGGTAAACTTTTTTTTTTTTTTTTTGCGGTACGCGGGCCTCTCACTGTTGTGGCCTCTCCCGTTGCGGAGCACAGGCTCCGGACGCGCAGGCTCAGCGGCCATGGCTCACGGGCCCAGCCGCCCCGCGGCAAGTGGGATCCTCCCGGACCGGGGCACAAACCTGTGTCCCCTGCATCGGCAGGCAGACTCCCAACCACTGCACCACCAGGGAAGCCCAAACCTATTTTTTAATGAGAAGGAGACCCTCTGATAATTAATCTCTTCCCCATCCCTATTAAACTTTGACTGACTTAGAAACAGCCCAATATACAATGAGCTACTAGATAAGAGCTTGATGCAAACACTGTCCATGTTGTTAATTGAGAAAAATTACCCCTATAGTTCAATTTATCAATAATCTTATTTCTGCCAAGAAGTAAAAATTCTTTACCTAGGTAGGACAAGGACATCAATTCTCAGCACCAAAAGATGCAATGGATGAAACCATTAATGTGCTTACCCACCTTACCAACCTTTTAAAACGAAGGTATTCATCTTGCTTAAATTCTTCATCAGTGGGTCTCATCTTCAGTTAATTCCATCAAACCATGTCTAGAATGGCTCACATCAGAATACTAATGTTTAACTTGGATAATCACACTGACAGTTTGGGAAGAAAGTTATCTTCTTACCAAAGATTCATTTAAACTGTATTTAGATGGTTTTCTAGAAGTCTGAGCAACAATGAAATGCACAACAGAGGATTTAGGAAAAAGTTAAGATGATCACAGATGGAAACAAGAAGGGATGTGTTTTATGTATGAAAGTAACATGGACGTCTGGTCACACCCATCCTCACAACAAGACAAAGCTGGACAAGTAGAAAATCAACAACTTTTCTTGGACCCATGAGAGAACTGGGCAAACTGCTTCCCTCAAACCTGTAGCAATAAATGCAACCAGAGGAACTCAACTGAAATTTGCTAACCAAGAGGAGAAACAGCTGGATCCATAAACTTAAACACTTTGATGAATGGCTGGAGGTTGAGTACGGACAACTTGTGATGTGAGAAACTGCTGGGAGCCATAGTCTTAGGGGGATATTCCCACACATTTGGGGCTTTTACCTCCAAGAACTCTGCCAGATTTTCACAATGAAGACCTGAGAAAGATCCTCTCCTGGCTCTGTAGGGGGAGGGAGAGAGTGACCATCGTGAAATATGCCCAGAGTCTTCTCCACACCAAAGCCCTTTAATCCAGAGGAAATAACCACCAGAGATTTATCCCAGTAGGAGGAAGGGAATTCCTCTCAGTCCAGTCCCTTTCAGCCAGCCTTCCTGTCTCACCTAAGGGGAAATAAAACATACGCCATGGGTCAGTGCTTCAAGGAAATAGATTGGGAATGCTACAACTGGAAAAAGGAGTAGAGGACAGGCAGAGGGGGAAAAGAAACCAAAAAGCTATACCATTGGAGAAACACTTATGAAGGTCACAGCCCCAAGACACTGGCCAACTAAAAGACTGAAATTTAATCAGAATATTTTAGAACACTTTCTTCCCCTATACTTTACCATGATACCAACAGAGCTCTAATATAATTAGGTAGACACACTGAGTACATAAAACAGCAATACACAACTCCCTACTCCTTTTGTGCGGGCTGTGCATAGTAACTTTCCTCCAAGGAGCACAATATGGATGGGTGGTAGAATCATTTAGAAGTTTGAGAAACCTGAGAAATATGACAACTGCCAAGTGATCAAGGTTAACATCAACAATGGTAAGCCATGTTGATAGCATGTTCCCTTGATATTATGTGAAGAGAATAGTGCTTTACCTCTCTCGTCTTCCTCCCCAAAACATGTAATTTCAGTCTGCAAGAGAAAAACATCAGACGAATTCGAATAGAGGGGCATTCTATTAAATACCTGAGCAGTACTCCTCAAAACTGTCAAGGTCATCAAA